ACGTGAACCTTACATTGGTCTCACAGGCCACATAAGTTACCTGGAAACACGGACAAAATATTGTAAAATGCAAGAAACTTTGATATTTGAGTAAATAAAATAGATTACCGCGGTGGGAGGCACTCGCCGTGTTGCAGTACGCACGTCAATTTCTGCAAACTTGCGGGCTCTATATCTCGGTTACTTAGTATGATGGCAAAAATTTATTTTAGGCTTTTTAAAACACTAGTTTTTAAAAATATTCTACATTTTCATAAGGAAAAAATTAATTTTTTTTTTTTTTTTTTTTCTCGTATATTTGGCGACATAGAAATGACAGTTTCAGAGAGGGGACTGAAACAGTCAAAGGGGTTAAATGTAGAGTTAAGAGGGTTTGGGAAGATGGAGGTAATAATTTTGAGGAATTGTTTAAATTTTGATGAAGATAGGGAACTGTGATTTCGTGTATAGGGGCAAGGAGGGAAATAACATCTTGTAGGAGTGAGGAAAGAGCCAGTTGCGGAGTGTGGGAGAGTTCGTGAGGCAGTAGGGGTTAAAATGAAAGGTGGGGTCGGGCGGGGTTAAGGCAGTGGGATTGGATGGGATAAGATAGAAATGTTTAAAAGCATGTAGGTGGATGTTAGTTTTGGAGTGGGTTGGTGCCAATTAGTAATAAATGTATGGAAGAGGGTAAGGAAGGTACCTAGGAATTTGGCAGACGAGCAATGCATAGTTCCTTTGAATAAAGGCAAAGGGGACAAAACGAGGACCTTGATTGCAAAAATTATAGGGGGGATAAGTCTGTTGAGCCTGTATACTGGTACTCAGTGTATGGTAGAGATTAATATTGAAAGAATTAAGAGGTAAGACGGAGTTAGGATAGCAGATGGAAACAGGGGCTTTAGGAAAAGGCTTTAGGGGCAGTGTGCTGGACCAGGTGTTTACAGTGAAACCTATAAGTGAACAGTATTTTTTATATAGGCTAAAGAGGTCTTTGTGGGCATTTATGGATTTTTTGAAAAAGGCGTATGACAGGGTGGATAGGGGGGGGGCAATGTGTGCAGATGTTGCAGGTGTATGGTGTAGGAGGTAGGTTACTGAAAGCAGTGAAGAGTTTTTACGAGGATAGTGAGGCTCAAGTTAGAGTATGTATGAAAGAGGGAAATTATTTCCCGTTTAAAAGTAGGCCTTAGACAAAGGATGTGTGTGATGTCACCGTGGGTTTTTGTTTAATTTATTTTATAGATGGGGTTGTTAGGAGAAGTAAATGCGAGGGTCTGTCAAGAGGCGTGGACGTTTAAAAAGATATGTAATCTCACTCATAAAAGTGGGAGTTGTCACAGTTGCTCTTTGCTGATGTCACTGTGCTCTTGGGAGATTTGAAAGAAGAAGTTGCAGAGATTGGTGGATGAATTTGGTAGGGTGTGCAAAAGAAGAAGATTAAATGTGGAATTTCAGGAAAGTGTAAGGTTATGCGGGGATAACAAACAGATTAGGTTGATGAAAAGATTGGTTATCAGATTGGAGGGAGAGAGGTATGGAGTGAGGTGAATGTATTCAGATATTTGGGAGTGGATCGCGTTCAGCGGATGGGATCTATGAAGGGTGAGGTGAATATAGTTATTGATGAGGGGAAAAGGGTGAGTGGTGCATTAGGAGTATGTGGAGACATAGAACTTTGTCCTTGGAGGCAAAGAGGGGAATGTATGAAGAATAGTTTGAACAAAGCATCTTCATTGGGTGTGAAGCATGGGTGATGATGTTGCTGCGGAGGAGAAGGCTGGAGGAGTTGAGAGATGTCATGTATGACGGGCAATGTGTGTGTGAATATATGCAGAGGAAGTCATATTAGGAAGTAAGGAGGAGGTGCGGGATTATCAAAAACTGTTGTCCAGGAGGGCTGAGGAAGGAGTTGTTGAGGTGGTTCGGACATGTAGATGAGGAATGGAGCGAACCAGAATGACTTCAGAGTGCTATCAGTCTGTAGTGGAAGGAAGGCGGGGTAGGGGTCAGCCTAGGAAAAGGTTGGAGGGGGGGGTAAAGGGCGGAGGTTTTTGTGTGCGAGTGGGCTTGGACTTCCAGAGGCGTGAAACTTATCTTATGTGCATTATTAGTTTTACCTCCTATGGTGAGAGTGTTTTGATTAGGAGTGAAGGAGACGAATGGTTTTTTTATACTTGACGTGTGTTGGAGATGATGTGTTTGAGCAAAGTAACATTTATGAAGGGGGTTCAGGGAACCGGCAGGCCCGGACTTGAGTCCTGGAAGATGGGAAGTACAGTGCCTGCACTCAGAAGAAGGGGTGTTAATGTTGCAGTTTAAAAAACTGTAGTTGTAAAGCATCCTTCTGGAAGTGCAGTGATTGGTGAATGGAATGGTTGAAAGGTTTTCTTTTTCGGGCCACCCTGCCTTGGTGGCGAATCGGCCGTGTTGATAATAAAAAAAAAAAAAATAAAATTTTAAATTAAATAAAAGCAAGGACAAAAAGGGTATACGGACTACTCTTCTGCAAGCAGCAGGAATCGTTGTTACAATCATGGTGAGGCATTCAGTGCGCAGCTTCGGCAGGCTTGTATCTCGGTAAGTATGGCCCATAATATTTTTTTTTTTCCTATAGCATGTAGAATAAATGCACTCTTCATTTATTTATTTTTTTTTTTTTTCTAAATATTTGTAGGTTGTACATGGGTTCCGTGGTTTGGAGTGAACATCAGATCTACGTTTGGGCAGTGTAAGGGTTGAATTTTTAATTTATTTTTAATTTGTGCACTAAATTGCCAAAATTTATGACACTCTGAAGGAGGGAGTGGTAGGGATATTTGCAGTATTGAGGGGCGCATTCTGAATTTTCCAGTATCAGGTGCCTCTGGAAAGAGTGATAAAGTGTACGATAAATGAAAGATGTTCTCTCTTTTTTGTGTTCACCCTATCTTAAGTGGAAATTATGGATTGCATCGTTTCAAAAATAATAATAATAATAATGTGTATGTGTTAATGCTTTAAGTGTAAACCTATGAACTTGGATAAGAAAATGTGAGTGCGTGCACCTGACTGTTGCCTGGGATGATAGTACGTATTAATAATCTTTATTTCTACAAGTACGTGATATGGCTATTACAGACCTAGCTAACATCATTGTATATAGAAAGCCCCCAGTTATGCAGAGCATTTTGGTCAACTTGTGTTAATATTGTTCCCTAGAATGCGACCCACAACATATCACATCTCCAGTTTTTTATCACAGCTAAAAACAAAATCCTTCCATGATGATAAATTTTAACTTCAAAATATCATAACTTCAGGGACCACTGTATCATTGGACAGATTGGAAGGACATTTACCCCTTCAGGGTTGGTGCCGTTACTTAGGAACAGCTTCTGAACGCCAGGAGTTGGTGTGCAGTACTGTACCAGCACCAACCCTGAAAGGGTTGAATGTCTTTCCAAACTGTCAATAAAAATATAGATACTACAGTGGTCCCTGAAGTAGTTAGTTAATAGTTAATGATATTGTGATGTTTCAATTTATCATAAATGGAGTACGCTTGCACGCAATGGTTGGTGCCGTACTAGGACCAAATTCTAGTGGCATTCAAATTCTAGCGAGAGAAAGATGGTAGGCATTCATATGAAAAGAATGGGTCTATGTGTGTCAGTGGTGCACAGTTTAAAAACATTCTGAGCACAGGTGCTGCCATGTGAAAAAAAACTATGACCGTGTTTTTGGTTTTAAAACAGCCGACTTTTGCTGTTGTATTGTTTGTATGTAATTTATGGTTGTATTTAGTGTTTTCCTGGTCTCATTCTATAGATTGGAAGACTTATTACAGAAATTGAGATGATTTTTATTGGTTTCCAATGAAAAAGTACCTTGAAATTGAGCTCAAAGAGCAGAAATGTTCAATTTTTGCCAAAGTTCAGAAGAAAATAAATCAAGCCATGAGTCCAATACACGTCAACTGGTGAGTCTAATATTCTTTCACAAGTGCGCTGATATTATTAACACCATTTCTACACTAATGCAGTAGTCTGAATAACAGTAAATCTTTATTTTTTGTGAGAATATAAAATTCAAAGTGGAAAGCAAAAGAAATGTAACAGAGGCCTGGGGACGTGACTAATGAACAGAGGAAATGTTATTTTAGTGCCAGGAAAGTCTGTCTTGTTTATTCTGGACCCTATTTGGAAATTGGCATCTTTTGAAATTTGTGTGAGATTGGCAAAATTGCCAGTTTCTGACCACTTTATTGGATAGTTGAAATCGGTAAATGAGTGGTTTTTTGTACTCATTCGATAGAAAAAATGGGGTTCTAGTGAAATAGTTATGATTTTTGTCGATTGATACATTGAAATTGGCCGAAAATAGGGCTCAAAGTGGGCGAAATCGCTGGTGCGTAAACATAGTCGACACCACTAACTTCACGAGAGCATACCTCTGTAAGTTTTCCATCAAATTTTATACTTTTAGTGTCATTATGATCGGAAAAAGATTTTCTATCATTTCATAAGATTTTTTTTTCTTGAAAAATTTCCGACCCTGAAAGGGTTAAAAAATGTAGTCAAAATTTATTGACTTCTTTTATTTTTTTAGCAATAGATGGGAAATATTAAATAAAAGTTCCTTAGTGGTTAATTTTACTGAAGTAAAAAAAATCTTTCACCCAAGCTTGTGTGAGCATGTTAGGAGGTGAATGGAGATAAGTTGTTTTAATGGGCATTGTGTTGGAGTGAGAGCAAGGCAGCTATTATGGTATTCAGAGAAACAGTTAGCCATATTTTAGTCTTGAAGGTGGGAAGGGCAGCGCCTGCACTGAAGGAAGGTCTGGGGATATTGCTGTTGGAGGGGTAATCTGATTGTGATGTCAACACACTTCTGGAAAGACAGCAATTAAGTGAATGTTGGTGAATGTGTTTTCTTCTTTGAGTCACCCTGCCTTGGTGGGAGATGACTGTTGAGTTAAAAAACCATTTTGATATACCCTAATGGAATTAGTTTACATTACTATTTTCCTTCCTTTGTAGCTGTTCCGGTATTTCCAGCCTGGGTCTACAGTTGTGGCAACAATGTTTGCACCTATCACCTTTCCCCCAGCCTCAGTCATGGTGTTCAGAGAGAGACCAGATGGTGCACAGGTACATTACTTTGTTTTCTTTATAATCCAAAGCCTGATTGAATTTACAGTATAGGAAATTAAATTACATGTATGTAGGCACATAATAATGTACTGTACAGTGGAACCCTGAATATCGGCCTTAATTCGTCACAGAAGGCTGTTCGAGTGCCATTACCAAAGGAATTTGTTCCCGTAAGGAATAATGTAAATTTGATTAGTCCGTTTCAGACCCCCAAAAATACACTTAAAAGAGCACTTACAAAAATACACTTACATAATTGCTCGATTTGGGAGCTGTTCGAAATTCGGGGTACCACTGTATTAGACAATATAAGCATAAATTTATGAAGGAGACCTAGGTTTATAGAGCAAGATTCCTGGGCAGTATTTAAATTTTTCTTAATGATCAAACAATGCTCCTGACCAGAGAGAATGAGTAGAGAAGTAGTGATGTAGTAACCAATTTGTTATAAGAACATGTGAACCCAATGAGTGTATGTAATATACCCGTATATATTTGTGAAAAACAGGAGTGTGCCATATGGCCTACAAGGATAACAGATGTACAACAATATAAGTACTAGCAGTTTTGTTTAAACACACACACCTGGTAAAGTTCATTTATCTACATGTGGATTATTATTTTTTTTTTTAATTTTCTTAAAATTATCAATATTGAATGTACTGAATCATTAGTAGTGATGCTTTGACTGCCTGTTACAGGACTTGGTGGCAACTGGTTCCTTGTTAAGTGTTGACCCCAAGAGAATTGTGACTAAGAGGGTAGTGCTTAGTGGTCACCCATTCAAAGTAAGTACTTTAATCCTGAAACCATTTTGTATATTCTGTTGTCCTAAAATTGTATATAGTATTTTTTTTTTCTTCTCAACAAGTCGGCCGTCTCCCACCGAGGCAGGGTGACCCAAAAAAGAAAGAAAATCCCCAAAAAGAAAATACACCTACCATCTGACTTATGACCGAGTTCGGTTCCGAGAAACCGGTCGTTAGTCGAAATGGACGTAAGTCGAACTTTGCTACTGAATATCAACATAACATTTTTGTAATGACTTTATTTTATTGTTTTATTTTAGTATTTCATGTTTTACTTTACTTTTTATGCTGTTAGTACTGTATTTTATACTGTAAGGTTTAGGATAAACACTGTGTACAACACAAACACTTGTTTATTTAATAACCCAGAAATTTGGCATAAAAAACACGGTCGTAAGTCGAGTCGTCATGTGTCGAGCAGGTCGTAAGTCAGATGGTAGGTGTACTTTCATCATCATTCAACACTTTCACCTCACTCAAACATAATCACTGGTTTTGCAGAGGTGCTCAGAATACAACAGTTTAGAAGCATATATGTATAAAGATAAACAACACATCCCTCCAAACTGCCAATATCCCAAACCCCTCCTTTAACCCTTTCAGGGTCGACAGGCCCTCTCAGAGACTTGTTCTCAGAAAAAAAAAAACATACCACGGGCGGGATTTGAACCCGCGGTCAGAGAGTCTCAAAACTCCAGACCGTGGCTAACACGACGGTCTGGAGTTTTGAGACTCTCTGACCGCAGGTTCAAATCCCGCCCGTAGTATGGTTTGTTTGCAATTGTGTCATTACGATTTCGTGAGTCTTGTTCTCAGGGTTGCCCAAATTTCAAAAAAAAAAAAAAAAAAAAAAAAAATCTTATGAAAAGATAGAGAATCTTTTCCCGATCATAATGACAAGAAAAAGTATGAAATTTAATGGAAAACTTACGGAATTATGCTCTTGCGAAGTTAGCGGTCTCGACGATGTTTACGTATCGGCGATTTTGCCCACTTTGAGCCCTATTTTCGGCCAATTCCACTGTACTATTCGACAAAAATCATAACTGTTTCACTAGAACTCCATTTTTTCTATCGAATGACTGCAAGAAACCACCCATTTACTGATTTCAACTATCCAATACAGTGGTCAAAATTTAGCAATTTTGCCAATTTCACACAAATTTCAAAAGATGCCAATTTCCAAATGGGCCCAGAATAAAACAAGAAGGGCATTCCTGGCACTAAAATGACTTTCCTCTGTTCATTTGTCACGTCCAATGCCCCTCTTACATTCTTTTGCTTTTCACTTTGAATTTTTATTTCACAAAAAATTGAAGATTTACTGTTATTTCAGATTACTGCATTAGTGTAAAAAATTAAGTATAATAATATTGGCGCACTTGTGAAAGAATATTAGACTCCCCCAGTTGACGATATTGGACGCTTGCATGATTTGTTTACTTTTGAATTTGGTAGAAATCGAACATTTCTGTCTTTGACTCATTTAAAGGTACTTTTCATTGTAAAATCAACAAATCACCCAAATTTTCTGTAATGTTTTCTATTCTATAGAATGAGAAAAAAAGTAGATAAAAAAAATAAATACTTACGAAAACGTACAAAGTTGCTATTTTAATATAAAAACCCGAAAAAAGGGTTTTTTTTTTCTCATTACGCATTGTGCTGCAGGTTTTTTTTTATACTGGCCACTGCCACTAGACCTTTCTTTCATATGTGTCTACCGCTTTCTCTCAATGATTTGGGGCGCTAAAATTTGGGCGTACTAGTACGTCAAAAACCCCGGGCGTAAGCTGTATAGTCGGCCGAAAACCCCGAAGGGTTAAAGGCAGGCTTGTACTTCCCATTTCCCCGGGGCTCAAGTCCCCTATATAAAAATAATCGGTTTTTCCTGAATCCCTTCATAAATATTACCTGCTCCACTAGCAGCTCATCAGGTCCAAATTTTCCTTCGTCTCCATTCATCCTATTAACACATATGCTGCTTGGGAAGTCCAAGCCCCCCGCCCCCAAAACCTCCTTGACCTCCTCTCTCCACCTTTTTTAAAGGGCAACCCCTACCCCCCCCTTCCTTCCCCTTTCAGATTTTTATGCTTTTCATGTATTCTTCTTTGATCCTTCTTCTAAATGACCAAACCACCTCAACAACCCCCCTTCAGCCCTCTGACTAATACTTTTATTAACTCCACACCTTTTCCTAATTTCCACACTCCAGATTTTCTGCATAATATTTACACCACACATTGCCCTTAGACAGGACATCTCCACTGCCTCCAACCGCCTCCTCGCTGCAGCATTTACAACCCAAGCTTCACATCCATATAATAGTGTTGGTACTACTATACTTTCATACATTCCCTTCTTTGCCTCCATAGATAATGTTTTTTTGTCTCCACATATACCTCATCGCACCACTTGCCTTTTTTCCTTCATCAATTCTATGATTAACCTCATCCTTCATAAATCCATCCTCTGACATGTCAACTCCCACATATCTGAAAACATTCACTTCTTCCATACTACTCGTCCCCAATTTGATATTCAATTTTTCTTTATCTAAATCATTTGACAGCAACCACCCAGGGAGGTACTATCGTCCTGCCAGGTGACTGTGAAACAGAAACCTGTAACTGTTTTACATGATGGTAGGATTGCTGGTGTCTCTTTTCTGTCTCATAAACATGCTGGATAACAGGTACGTCTTGCTACTTCTACTTACAGTTAGGTCACACTACACATACACGTACAGGTTTATTTATACACACTCATCTGAGTTTTCTTTGATTTTATCCATGGGGAAGTGGAATAAGAATCTTTCCTCTGTAAGCCATGTGTGTGTGTTGTAAAATTCAACTAAAATGCCAGGAACAATGGGCTAGTAACCCCTTTTCCTGTAATAATTACTAAAAAGAATAAGAAGAAAATAGTATAATTTTATATTGAAATATGTGTGTAAGCTAAAATATAGTTTCATGTCGGCATGGCACACCCAGGCCTCGCTTTACAGCACTTCACTTTACTGCATTTCACTAATACAGCAGTTTTCGATTATGCCCATTCTTCATTGATTCAGACTTCCTACAAAAATTTATTTGCCACTCACTATAGACTAAGGACAAAAATATTTTAAGGTAAGTAATGTGTGTACTGTATATGCATTTTTTAGGCCTGGCTGTATTGCTCACTAATATATAATAGTGTAAACATGTTATCAGGCTTTAATATAATATGTATTTGAAAGTTAAAAAAAAAATGCTATAATTCACTTAACAGTGGTAGTAGTCCAGAACCTAGCCTGCTGTATAAGTGGGGCCCTCCTGTATATAAAACAGACTACAGCAGATATGCTCAGAGAAAGCCTGAGATATATTAGTTAACTGTTTTCTTATTGTGCCTTTGAATCTTGCAAATTATTTTTTTTGCTCTATTTATTTCTCTTCATAGAAATAGCAAAGTACCAAGCTGCCTCAATTAGAAAGGAAATTGTGAAAGCATCAGCAGTCTCAAAAAAACTGTAAAGATAGAAAAACGAGTGAAATAAGATAGCAAGATATCATGACACTTATTTGTTCATGAGACAAAAACCCCCAGCGTCACTTCTAATGAAAAAAAAAAGTACGGGAAAGGCCTTTCAAAAGCGGTTAGGTTCTGGGCTATGTTGAACACAAAAATCTTGTAAAGTGAGACCAAGCCTTTTTTCATTTAAAAAATGCATCTAAAACCCTGATACATGTTCACAAATATTTTAATGAGCTAGAGCTACACCAAAAAATTTACAGGGGGACCCCCGGTTCACGTTATTAATCCTTCCTGAGAGCCCCTGTAAAACAAAAATTATCGGAAACGAATCAATTTTCCCCTAAAAAATAATAAAAATTTAAAATTTAAATTCCGGCAAGACCCCCCAAAAAGTATGAAAAAAAAACTTTTACCACTGAAATTTTAATTTAAATAAAATAAAAAATTAAAATAACAATAATAACAATAGAAAATTACACTTCCCTTTTAATGAAGTTTGGGTGATGATTGAGGGGATGGGGGGAGGGGAGAGTGTCAAAGTTTTTAATTTTTAAAAGGGGGAAAAATCTCCCTCCATTAGGATTGGGGGAGCAAGCCCTTTTTCCCGGGGGTTACTTCCTTCTTCTTTTAATCCACTAGGCCCCCTTTGAAGTCACTGGATTTCTGTCGAAAACATATCTGTCCATAGGCCTGTACCTTTCTTTCCCTTTTGACTTTCCAAAAGTGGTTCACAACATTGCCCAGTACGGGTTTGCCAAATGGCTTGCAGACTGTGTCGGGGTGTTTTCATATACTAGTATGCCACTTTGTTTCAAAATCTTTAAAAACCAACCCTTTGTGGCCTTAACCTTTCGGGGCCTCCCATAGATCTACATTTTTAAAATTGGGGTTTAAACCGTAGATTACGTCATGACTCAGCTGCCTGATAAACTGGAGTGGTACACTTGGGCCTAGATATGAGAGAAACTCTATGTGGTTTTTTGTGCACCACATAAAAAAAATCCTGCACACATGTTTAATGAGAAAAAAACTGAAACATATTTTCGATTAAAACGGCAAACTTTGCAGTGTTTTTTCGTATTTTTTTAAGTTGTACAGGTCTCCCTCAACATTCACGTTTTCAGCTTTCCGGGGGCTTCACCATTCGCGAAATTCCCCCCCCCAAAATTTCCCCAGCCACCAAATTCCCAGCCGCCAATCAATTCAAGTTTCCCGCCACCCGAGTCCCACTCCCCTCCCCCGCCCCCCACAACGGCAGCCAGCCCTCCCACCACTCATGTGGTGAGTGTTTTGTTTGTTCATTATTTGTTTTAAAACTACAGAAAATAAGAAAAACACTTCAAACTGCATATTGGAATGGCTATTTGGACAGGTTTTGGGACGGTGACACATGGTTTATCTTGAACACAGCAAAGAATCAAACATTTTGCTCTGCTAATAATAAAATAGTATAATAAAAT